CAATTCTCCTGTACCTTTATCCCACTTCACAATAAAGCCATACCGGCTCAGCTTTGTTATGGAATCAACTTTTAGATTCAGGTGGAAATAACTCTGTCCTTACCCAAGTTGTTCAGATTCCTGCATAAATAAACAAGTCACTTACTTTTCCATAATTAGTTGTGGTGACATTCCACTTGCGCACTCTATTTCCATCGTAAGCGTAAGAATCTGATGTATCACCGACGCCCTCCTGTTTGGCAAATAGACAGGTGTCAGGAAGACAGACCGAGAAAACTGGCAATCCCTGAAGCAGCAAGGGGATTGCCATCAAATTTCACCTCATAGAAACCAGCACTAAGCAATAAAAATTCAGCTAATATCAGACCAGTGTGAAGTGCAGAGAGGGACAGATGGCATAAAATGGCTTCATTCATCCTTAATGAGCAGGTTAGTATAACCTTAACATACAAATGACAACAATTAGGCAACTCGAAATATTACAGCAATAAAGAAACATTGTAAGGTGTAAGGATAAAGTATTTAGATACAGATATTAACGTTTTTGCTTCAGAACAAATTCTTCAATTCCAGTATTGTACTAAGTTATTGTCTACAACCAACTCCCCTCACCTCCCCAAGCTCGCTACTTATCCACTATTCCATACTAGCTCTGGCACAGAATTACAACAGCAAAGGAAAGTACATCCTTCTTCTGAGTCACAGTCAGATAAATATAAACCTCATGAAACTGTGTTCAAGTCAATCACAATAGGACACAGCTCACAGTAATCCCTTGAAACAGAGTAAGTTAATCAGCTACATTGGATATACAGCACAGAAACAGGTTGCACAGACTAATTAGTCATGTCAATGTTTATGTTCCACTGAAGCCTCCTCCCATCTTTTCTCATCGTAACTATGTTCCCTCATCACTCATGTGCCAGTCTAGCCTTCCCTTAAATGCATCTGTACTATTCAGTTCAAGCAGTCCCCATAGCATTCTCATGACTCCTTGCATATTGAAGATTCTTCTGAATTCCCTTTTGGATTTCTTGATATTTACCAAGATCAATATCATCTTATATCAATGAGCTCAAATTATGTTCTTCCCCACAAAAGGGGACATTCTTTCCCTAAGCACTCCGCCAAAACCTTCCACAACGTTAAAGATCCTATTAGATCAACCTTCAGCCAGTCAATCCTTTCCTGATAAATATACCTAAACACTTCTGGTTTCACCCTTATAAATCATCTCTGCACTCTCTCCAAGACCTCCAGATTTATTACATTATGGTGACTAAACTGAAAGGAGCACCCCAAGTGTGGTCAAAATAAGGTTCAATGTAGATTGAGCATAGCTCCTCGCTTTTCAATTCCACCCCTTTAGAAATAACACCCAGTGCTTGTTTCACTCTTTTATTGTCTTACTAAACTTAGTGACGGATGCATTTGTTGAGATTCTTTTGTTCTTCTACATCTGTATTCATATCTTCCAAACAATAAGTTACTTCCCTAATCTTTCCATCAAAATGAAATACGTTATATTTAGCTGGGATGTTCATTTGGCACTTGCAAGTCCATTCAGCAAATTTATCCATGACCTGTTGCAGCCCTCGTCAGCACTGAGTATCCTGCACCCCAAAAACTTAGTCACATGAAAACTTAAGACAGCTTTCAGTAATCTGTATGAAACTTTTGGAGATATCTTGCGAAGGTTCAGCAAATAATGATGGATACAAATAGAGTTAATGGTAGTTGTCTTTTTCCCTAGAATGGGGGATTTCAAGATTAGGGGGCACATTTTTAAAGTCAGAGGAGAGAGATTTTAAAAAAGACATGAGGGGCATTTTTTTTTTTTTTTAAAAACACAGAGAGTGGTTTCCATGTGGAATGAACTTCCTGAAGAAGTGGTGGATGTGGGTACAATTACATGTTTAAGAGACATTTGGATAAGTGCATAAATAGCAAAGGTTTGGAGGGATATGAGCCAGGAGCAGTTTGGGATTATGTGTGGCATGGACTGGTTGGACCGAAGGATCTATTTCCATGCTGTATGTCTGTATAACTCTATAATCAGGCTGACGCTGCTTTTCGTATCGCTGGGAAATAGCAAGAAAATTAATCACAGTCCAACCCAGCTCTCCATAATTCCTATGAATTATAGACAGTCATCACAGTTCTCTGCAATCCCTGTGAAACAGAGAAAGTTGGCCATAGTTAGACACATCCCTTTTAATCCCTGTGTAACAGTTAAAGAGCTAGTCACAAACAGAATGCTCTCTGCAATCCCTGTGAAACAGTGTGAGTTAATCACCTGGACACAGCTCTCCATAATCCTAGTGAAAAAGTGCAAGAATTAATTATAATCTAAAACAGCGCTCTGCAAATCCTGTAAAATATTGTGAAAATTAGTCAGTCAGTCAGTCAAACACAACTCTGCGTAGTGAACAGATTAAAACACAGTTCTGAGGAAGGGTCACCAGACCCGAAACGTTAACTGATTTTTTTCTTCACAGATGCTGCCAGACCTGCTGAACTTTTCCAGCAACTTCTGCTTTTGTTCCTGATTTACAGCATCCGCAATTCTTTCGGTTTTATATTTAGCAGTGAATAGAGTTCAGTCAGTCCACCACACATTAACTTGTAGGTTGACACCTTACAGCTTCTGACGGCTCAGTGCTTTACAGTTAATAAACTCCAGCTCATTCAGGCCTCAGCTATTTAAATTCTAACTTGCATATTGTCAGCCTCCCTGTGCTTGCTGACCTATTTCCTCTCCTAACGCAATCTCAAATTTAAAACTCTCATTCCTATGTCCAAATCCCTCTATTTTAATAACCTTGTCCAGCCCTACAACATTCCAAGATCTCTACTCTCCCCCAACTCTGGCCAATTATACATTACCAACAACATTACACACTGCCCCAAGATTGCAGTTACTTTCTGAAATTCACCCACTCTAGGTGCCCTGAAGAGTTCCTCAAAACTCATTCTTTGTCCAAGCTTTTTGTCAGCTGTCCCAATAGCTTGGGTGGATCAGTGTCACTCTTTATCTGATAACTCTCCTGTGAAGTGCTGTGGGATATTTTATATTTAACTACATTTTGTTTTTAATTCACTTGAAGAACATGGAGTTGCTGCCCTTCCCTAGTTGCCCTTGATAAGGTGGTGGTGAGCTGCCTTCTTGAACTGCTGCAGTCTATGTGCTGTAGGTAGACCCATTCTGCCCTTGAGGGAGTTCCAGGTAGTTAATCCAGTAACAGTGAAGGAACAATGATATATTTCCAAGTCAGGATGGCAAATGGCTTGGAGGGGATCTTGCAGATGGTAGCGCTCCCTAATATCTGCTGCCGTTGTCACTCTTAATCGAAGTAGTCATTGGCTTGGAAGGTACTGTCTAAGGTTTTTTGGTGAACTTCATACAAATTTCATATAAACGAACAACTTTGTTCAGTTGTCAAGTCTCCCACTTATCAGAATACTTAGCAGTCCCTCCTTGCATGGGTAAGAGAGATAGATAGAGAGACATAGGCTCACCTCCTGATTGAACCTGCAGTTTAGGGTGCACCAACCAATCTGCATCAACCCCTGAGATGAAATCAGAACTTCATACATCCATTTTCCTGTGGCAAAGAACAAGATGAGGTTGAGTCAGCCAACAAAGTGAACTTAACATCACAACAGTACAAAACAGAAAGTCTAGATCATTTCACAATGGTTTCACACGCAGCTCAAGCAGCTCAATCAGAAAACATACACACACATTTCCCAAGTGCTTTATAAACAAAATCAAGCACAATCATGTGCCTGTGGACTGTAAAGGAAACAGTGGGAAAACAATGAAACTAAATAACTTGATTTTGCTGATGAGCAAGAACTTTACTGCAAGTCGACATACTCCAGGATTTGTGGTTACAATCAAATCAGCCGTGCCCTCATTGAATGATGGAGCAGGTTTGTGCTTCTAATTCATATGTTTGTATGTTTCAGATTCAATGGTAGGTTAAATGACTGATCAGAGCCTGTTGTGATTCATCTCCTGCTTAGCCAGTTTTTCATCCTGTACTCACTGTACCCTGAATTTAATTTCAAAACATTCTCTCGATTTAGGCATCATAGGCAAGGCCATTTATTGTCCACCCTGAGGTACTGATGATGGTGAGGCTTCTTCCCAAACCACTATTATCAGAACAATGCAACAGTGGTTTGCTATCAGAAGACTGTGAGAGTCAACATTAGACTTGAGTCACATGTATGTTAGATCAGGTAAGGATGCTCATGAACCAAGTTACGTTTTTGCTGTCCTGCTGTAGGAAGATATTCCTAAATTGGAGAGGGTTCAGAAAAGGTAGACTAGGATGTTGCCGGAACTGGAGGGTTTCAGTTATAAGGAGAGGCTGAATAGGCTGGGACTTTTCCACTGGAGCGTAGGAGGTTGAGGAGTGACCTTAGAAAATTATGAAACCTTTATAAAATCATGAGGAGCATAGATAAAGTGAATAGCAAAGGTCTTTTCCCTAGGATGGGTGAGTTCAACACCAGAAGGATATTTTTAAGGTGAGGGGAGAAAGACTTAAGGGAGACCTGAGAGGCAATGTGTTCACACAGAGGGTGGTTTGTGTGTAGAATGAACTGCCAGAGGAAGTGGTAAATGCAGGTATAGTTAGAACATTTAAAAGGCATTTGGATAGGTACGATAATAGGAAAAGTTTAGAGGGATATGGGCCAAACACGGAGAAATTTGGTCGGCATGGACAAGTTGGATCAAAGGATCTGTTTCTGTGCTGTATGACTCAATGAGGCATTCTCAGCAGCAAGGTCCCCCATACAGGATAGAGCACATTTTTCAGCCTATTTCAATTAACATACATGCACAAACAGAAAATGACACACGCAAATAAACAAGGACATCATACATCACAAAAAGAAAATGGAGGGTGCATTGTTCAGTATCACTCCAAAGTTAATAAGCTACCTCAAGTCACACTTCCAAACTTGCCCAAAGGAGACAATCCTCTTCAGAAATAATGAGGCATTCCTGACACTCAGCACCCAATTACTTCCTCTAATAAAGGTCTTTCTGAAACTGTTCCTCAAATTAATGAAACAATTTCAGCATCACCAAACCATCCCACAATGAGGTACTCAATGTATCATTGTCCAATAGCACCAGATTAATCGGTAGAAATAGACTGAACAATCCCGGTTCTGACATTGTTCTAAATGAAGTGCAAAACCAGACTCTCTGGACCAGTCAAAATGTTTCACACTCACCTTTAAACACGCATGAGGTAGCTCTGATTGAGCTGAAGTTACTGTGACCAACAACCTAAAATGGTACAAACAGTGTTAAGTCCAATCCAGATTTCACGGCTCCATAGTCACATCTTCAAATACAGGCAGACAGAAGACAACATCACTCAAAACCATTTCTCAGATTAACAGAACAAAGAAAGCGGCACTGTAGGAACAGCAATCCAATTAGTCCGGATGCTCAGGGTTATTACAGCATAACTATCAAAAACAGTGCAAAAGAAATGGCCAGCAGAAAACCACAGCAGCTGGATCTATTACTCAGAGTTACACTCTAATTCAACGAGGTTGAAATAAAAAGGTCAGAACTCCAGTTAGATTGTTTAAACTATACGAAGGGCAAGCAATATAGAAAAGGATGGTTCATTGACAGCAGTGCTGGCCAATGACTGCAACCGGTGAAGCTGTATTCCAATTAAGAATTCATTACATGCAAATTAGGAAACTAAAAATAAAATGAAACAGGGACCCCTCTTGGTCACAGTGATGGTGTCCCTACCACTGAACTGGGAGCGACTGGTTCAAGTCCCACCTGCTCCAGAGATGTGTAATAACATCTCTGAACAGGTTGATTAGAAAAATAGGTAAAATGTAAAAAGTTTTTCTTCAGGCAGCAATGAGATAACCTGACATGGAGAATACGCAGCCTTGTTCTAAATTCCTCACCCCAAGTAAATCATCATCCACGAGCAGCAACCCCTCAAAACCACTTGTGTGATCCAGGACCACAGTGGCTGGTCCAAGGCGCCCATCCATATTTTGATCTGAAATATAATTGACAATTAATTCCTCAGTCAGAAACTATGCAGGATTACTGATTTTCAGCACTAGAAAAATCATGCACAGATGAACAGATGCTTTAGGGTGAGCTACAGCCTGAATCTAATCAAGGTGTTTGGGTCCTTTATATTCGTAGATAAGCCACAGGACGAAATCTAATCCAAGTGGTTCTGGTTACTTACATACAGTTGGATCCTGGCACTGAAAAGATGTAAAATTAAGTTTTAAAAGAACAATAGTTGTTTTGAAAAAGATGGTGATTAGTCATTCTTGGGTTCAACAAATATTGGCATTGCCTAATGTGATACATTGCATTCCTGCCTGAAGTCAAAACAATGCTACGAATGGAAGCTGATCCAGAAAGTTGCTTGAAATGAATCAAATCAATGGCTGGAGCAAAGACAAAATAGTTCAGGTGCTGGAAATCTAAAACACAATGAAAAATGCTGGAAATGCTCGATAGGTCCGGTAATATCAGAAGGGAAGGAAACAAAGATAACATTTCAGGTCAGTGATAACATTTCAGGTCAATGATCTTATGGCCTGTGGCCATTACCGTTAACTATGTTTTTCTCTACACATGCTGCCAGACCACCTTTTGCTGTTATTTTTTCATCAAATCAAAGGATTCTGGTGGCTGCCTAGTTTAGAAGCACCTCCTCAATCCCGAATCTGTAATGGTCTCTGGTTATTAAATGCTGCAAGTGGGGAGTGTTTCATCACTCCTGACTTATGTCTTAGAGAAGCTGGACAGGCATTAGGCAGGAGTTAAGTTATTTACCACAAAATCACCAGCTTTTCCTTGTAGCCACAGTATTTATATGGCTGGTGCTGTTCAGCTTCTGGTAAACGGTAATCCCCAGGATGCTGGTGGTGGGGAATTCAGCAACTGTAATGCCACTGAACATCACGGGGAGGTGGTTAGATTTTCTCTCAGTGAAGATGGTTGTTGCGTGGCATTTATGGCACAAAAATAATTGAGTATTAGTGAAACATGTAGAATCCTGAGAGAAGTGCATAGGGTGAATACCAGGACATGTTTCCTGTTGTAGGTGAAAAACTGAGGGACACAGTTTAAGAATAAGAAGTCTCCCTTCTAAGACTGAGATGAGAGGGAATCTTCACCCTAGACCTTCTTTAAGATGTGGAATTGTCTTGTCCAGAAAACAAAGGCTGGGCCAATTAATTTATAAAAGGCTGAGTTTAGAAGGATATTTTTAGAGGCAAAGGAGTCAAGGGCTACAGTGTTGGGTGGGGCGGAATACAGACGGCAAAATGGAGTTGAGATCACAACCAAAGGAGACATGCTCTTCTTGAATGGTGGAGCAGGCTCGAAGGGACAATCAGCCTGCTCCTGGTTCCGATGTTCCGATGTTCCGATGTTCCGATGTTCCGATGTTCCGATGTTCCGATGTTCCTCAGCTTTTTGTTCTAAATATGGGCTCTCAGTAGGGTGAAATTTTGTATCTGGTCACAAATAAGGCATTCATTGCTGAGATAACAAGGTGTAGAGCTGGATGAACACAGCAGGCC